AAAAAAAAAAAAAAAAAAAAAAAAAAGAGTGATACCATAAGATCATCCCCATAGATACAGATAAAACACCTAATAAAATTTAATATTCTTGGACAGCCATGGTGGCTTATGCCTATAATCCCAGCACTTTGGGAGGCTGAGGTGGCAGATCACCTGAGTTAAGAAATTCAAGACCAGCCTGGCCAACATGGTAAAAATCCATCTCTGCTAAAAATACAGAAATTAACTGCATTGGTTGCTATTCCTTTTCCATTCCTTGTTCCAGCAATAATATTTTCTTTATATATTTATAGATCTGTTTGGTTCTGATTCCATATATAACAGGATTGAGCATTGGTGGCATCACAACATAGAGATTGGCTAGGAGTATATGGATATAGCGGGGAACATTTTGGCCAAAGCGATGAGTCATAAAGGAAAAGAGGGCTGGTGTATAGAAGGCAAGGATTACACACACATGTGAACCACATGTGCTGAGGGACTTGAGTCGGGCTTCACGGGAAGGAAGACGGAAAACAGCACGAAGTATCTGCACGTAAGAAAGGGCAATGGCTGTGATGTCAAACACTAGATTACAAATGGCACATAAACCATAAATAATATTGATTTTGATGCTGGCACAAGATAGACGAGCAAGACCCATGTGCTCACAGTAGGTGTGGGGAATGACATGATTTCCACAGAAGGGCAACCGCAAAATAAGAAATATAAAGGGAATGACAAAAATAAAAGCCCTCACAAACACACCAAGACCAATCACAGAAATGACCTTGTTGGTGAGGAGGGTGCTGTATTGGAGCGGGTTGCAGATGGCCACATAGCGGTCATAAGCCATTGCCACGAGCACTGCTGACTCCATAAGTGTGAAGTTGTGGATAAAAAACATCTGGGTGAGGCAGGCCTCAAAGATGATCTCTCTGAGGTTGATCCAGAAGATCCCAAGCATCTTAGGGATGGTAGCTGTTGAAAGGCCCAAGTCAATGGTGGCCAACATGGCCAGGAAGTAGAACATGGGCTGGTGTAGCCTGCTCTCAGTCCTGATCACCAGCAGAATAGTGAAGTTCCCCATGAGTGCAATCATGTACACAGCACAAAGGGGAAAGCCAATCCAGCTGTGAAGTGTTTCTAGTCCTGGGATTCCCAGCAACAGGAAGGAGGAGGGATGAAACTGGGTGTCATTAGGAAGTAACATCCAGCTTGTGAATGCATAAGTCCACAGTCTACAGAAATTTATGCTCACCCAATCTGCATGTCACCACACAGGGCTCTGCTGTTTAGAGACAAAAATTTAATATAAAAAACATATATTTGTGTACATGTCTTTTTACAGAAAATTCTATCACTGTGAAATGTGCTGTGTACAGAGGACTTTAGATGAATAAAAAACATCTCAGGGATAAATTCTTAGATTAATTTAAAATAAAATGAAATGAAATGTTCTATATGATACTTTCAACTTTGCTAGCATTCTACTCTTCCTAAAGCCTATTAATATAGCCTCATTGCCAATATTATGCTAAGATTTGCCTGAATACTTTTTACATTAGCTATCCTCTCTCATTATTGCCATCATCACCATAGGATCCCTTTGAATTTTGAACGAGATAAGGTTTTCCTAGCTCTTAAATGTAGTGGTGGAAATTAATTCCAGTTGATTGAATGATAACACATTGAGATTAACACATAGGGTGGGTACTCTCTATTCAATAAACACCCAAACTAATCAAAATTTATGCCAAAATATACTAAAAATCACTTAAAGGTTTAAAATTGGTCCATTTTCCAAATATTTACTCATTATTACTGTAAAATAAAATACAGAATAATAGTGAAAACAGCAGCATCAACTACCAATTATTGAAGTACTGCCTATTATTTGCAAAGTTTCCCTATGTGCAAAATCATCTCTAATTTATAAAAATAACACCCTTCAAGGAGGATATTAATTTTTCATATTTTCCATATAAGTGATCTACGGATCAATGAGTTTAAGAGGCTTGTCAGATGTTTAAAATGCTTTTAATGGAAGCTCTAGGAAATTAAGATAGGGATAACAATATTGAATTGATGTGAAAGAAAAATAGAAAGAAAGGAAGGCATAATGAATGACTTACCTGTGGATATACACGCTGGATAAAGCACATATACACACATAATATTACACACAGGTTAAACAAATACACGTTTTTCAAAATTCATAACATCCATCTGAATAACACATGTCACATGTATCTCTAGCATAAAGCTGAGGCAATCATTACTTTAGGAATTTAAGCTACATGTCAAATGTTTAAAAACAGGTGAGAAAAATAGAAGCATTAGAATATTAGATTTATGATAATACATTCATTTTGAGGTTTTAATTAGTTAATTAGTTAACTTTTGAGACAGAGTGACACTCTTGTCACCCTGGCTGGAGTGTAGTGGCATGATCTCAGCTCACTGCAACCTCCGCCTCACAGGTTCAAATGATTCTCCTGTCTCGGCCTCCAGAGTAGCTGGGATTACAAGTGTGCACACTTGGATAATTTTTTGTATTTTTAGTAGAGACAGGGTTTTGGCAAGTTGACCAGGTTGGTCTCAAACTCCTGGACTTAAGTGATCTGACCACCTTCGCCTGCCAAAGTGCTGGAATTACAGGCGTGAGCCACTGTACTTGGCCTCAATCATTTTCAAAGTTAACTGAATTTATCTAATCTGTCTTCATGTACCTTGATTATAATATTTGATGGGGAAGTATTTTCAGAGCATTTCTGTCCATGGAAAGCTTTTACTGTTCCATAGAAAAATGCCTCATTCAAGATTAGAGAGCTTAACAAAACCTGGTAATATGAAAGAAATGTCACATAAATTCTTGAGATTACTACCCAAATTAATGATAGTGATAAGGAAGTAAATCATATGCTATATGTCTATCCCCCATTTTATGAAATGTGGTATGTATAACAGGCAAAATAAAGAATAAAGACTACTAGAAAAAAATTGTGTACATAAAATAATCATCTTCTTTAAAAAGAGGTAAATGAACAAACAAAATTACAGTCATCATTGTTTGAATACATAAGACTTCATAAAATATGACTAATGGTTGTCAGAAGGCATAAAAATAGAAATATTGGGCACAACACTATTTTGCTGATAAACAAGTGCCACCCATCCAGTGTACCATGTCACACCAAACATTTTTCATGTGTTAAAATCTATTCTGAATGAAAATACAACTATAAAATCACTAAGCTAATTTTTCAGTGAAATAAAATAACTCCACTTTTAAGAGAGTTTTTTTGTGAGAATAACCACTGAATAAGTTACATATGTATGACTTCTTTAATCTGTGCAGAATTGCATAGTTCCTTTGGAACAATTTTGTTTTGAACACCAAGGTAGCATTTCAAACAGCCATACCTCAATCAATGTGAACCAGGGATACTCAAGGAGATTATCAGACAGAAATGATTTCTGAAAGGAAAAACAAAGAATTCAAACACAGATTTATTCATTATTTTATTCTTATAGTTATAACTCCATTTCAAGCTAACAACTTAACCTTCAATCTTGCACTAATTTATAAGAACTCTATACTTACTCTCCTGTGCACACATTTTATGTATGTTATTGATGTCAGAGATTATTTTTATATTTCCATCAATTAACAACTTTTTGGGTTGTAGTTATTCTTAACACTTTTTTATTTTACTTTTATAGTAGTGTTAAAAGTGATTAATTCATCAGTTTAGTATTACATTATTTAGCATTTGTATATGTATTTACCAGTGAGATTCATACTTTCATATGTGCTATTTAGCATCCTTTCATTTCAGAATGAATTCCATTTAGCACATCTTATAAGGCAGTTCTAGTGGTGACAAATTCCCTCAGTGTTGTCTGTTGGGTAAAGTCTTTCATTTGCAAAGGACAGGCTGGGTTGAGTGAATATAGTGATCTCATTTGGCAGGGTTTTTTTTTTTTACCCCCCCAACATTTTGAATATATCTTCCCACTCTTTCCTGGCTTACAATGTTTCTGCTGAGAAATTTGCTGATAATCAAGTAAGGGTTGCCTTGTGTGTTATAAATTACTTTTCTTTTGATGCTGCCAAAACTTTCTTTGTGTTTACAATTTAATCAGACACAAGTGCAACTTCTTATGGTCAGAAATGTATAACAAACCTAAAAATGTACCTCTGAACCAAAAATAAAAGTTAAAAAAAGCTTAGAACTAAAACTAGGAATATCTATATATTTCTGGTGACAAAGACTGCCAACAAGTAAACAGTGTCACCCTTCGAGGAAGATGAAACAATTGAAATTATCTAAAAATATGTGAAAATGGGCTGTGAGAGCATAACAGGGTGTATAATCTGTCCTCACTGCACTGAAACTCTTCATTTTAACATCCTACCCAACACCTAGCTGAAATTAAAACCATTCTAGTTAAGTTAATTACTGATCTCTGGACACCAAACCCAGACAAATATCCCTATCTCATCCTACAACTGCCAGCAGCGTGTGACACTCGATCATTCTGTTCTTTGAAACGTAGTATATATCACCAAATGTATATTTACATGTTTTGTTAAAAAGTGAGTGCATATGTAAGTGTATATATACTAGTTTATGTGTATACATGTGTGTGTATACACACACACACACACACACACACACTTTGCTTAAATAGCAAGCTATATATATACACATATCCAAACACACATATGTTTGTATGTGTGTTTGTGTATATGTGTGTGTGTGTGTGTGTGTATTTTGAAGTATATATACTTTGAAATATTTATTTGTTATATATTTTGACAATTTAGTTAGACACAGTGGGACTTCTTACAGTAGGAAATGAATGACAAAACTGCACATGTACCCTGAACATAACATATTCTTATTTTCATTTCTGATCTTTAGCACTGTCATCACTATTTCTTTTATGCAATACTTTGTTAGTGTTTTATCTCATTCTTTCCACTCTTGAGCCATTCTTCCCAAATCTATGTTTTATAGCAGGTAGTAAATTCTTGAAAAACAGAGCAACAAGAATGAAACATTGGCAAGTCAAGTCATTTCTCGGCTAACAAGGTAAGTTCTTCCGACAGCTTTCAGAGTAAAAGAAAAGACATTGCTATAATATCACTTGTGAGACTGTTACCTAATAGGATCATTTTCCTCATGGATAGAAAAAAGAGGTAGAAGTATACATTCGGTTTTGCACTCACTTATCTTCCTTCTCATCATTGTGCTCTTTTGCTCAAATTCCTTAGCTTGCTTCCCCTACAGCTTTACTCTTTATGACATCAAACTGCATTGCCATTCTTGTTCACCAAACTACAGGCATTTTTTCACTCTTTCTATTGGTTTAAAAGTTCAAACCTATTTTTACCACTCTATTAAAACATTTTCTATCCAGTTATCTAAAACAGCCAACCACGTCTTCCTTTATGTTACTGTATCACAAACACTATTTTTTCCTACACAATTTTCTCTCGGCCCATATCCCCCCCTCTAACTTCCTAAAGCCAATCTCTTTTTCCTTCAGCCAATCTTTTCTTCCCTGCTTCTTTTCACAAATGGCAGTTGTTTCCCCCGCTAGCTCTGCACTCCTCCTTCCATCGGACTTATAAATTGTGTAGGCTACTTCCGTTTACCCATCCCTTAATTAGCTTATTGCTTTGTACTCTTACTCCTGGTTAAAGTGCTCAAGTTGGACTTCGTTCTGCCTATGGAGTCTATCTAGGAGGTTACCAGTTTATCTGCTGATGATAAAGGAAGCTTCTCATTTGTCCTGGAGTTCTGGGAGCCTGGGGGACTGGAAGCTACTCATGCTATATAGGGAGTAGAGACCTGTGGGTCTAAGGAGTGTCAGTTGCTCAGGTAGAGGTAAAGGTAGAGTGAATTTCCATAGAAACTGAGAATTCCTAAGAGACGTTCAAGTGGGAGAAAATAAAGGAAACTCTGATTCTGTCTCTGCTGGCTGGATGAGCTTAGATACACAATGGGGAGTGGGTAGGCTCCAACTGTGTAAATTTTCAACAGGATAAAGGCACTATGTGAATATTAAAGTTGTACAATAGAGTAAAAATATGGCACTAAAGTGGTTACCAGAAGTGGGCATATTCTAGCAACTGCCCAGATATTTGGTGATCTCATAGGGAACTTCTCTAAGGGTTAAGAGAGAGCCAGAAATAGATGTGTTCACAGAGAGACTGACATAGGTTCAAATGATCTCAAGTTCTGCTTTAAGATCTGAGATTGCTAGTAGCCA